GGGGGTGGACGGAGGTGCGCGTCGTGTTTTTTCGCCCGTGTTGCTGGGTCTCACATACTTGCTTGGTTGTCGGCGGCTCTCCCCTCTTTTTGTGCCGGGGGCGGTCTTGAGGGAGGGAAAAAAAGCGGGGGGGGGGGGGGTGGTTTGTTGATCTTTGGGGGAGCCCCCGGGGGGGGGGGGGGGGGGGGGGGGTTACTGCCATATATGGGCTATATATGTATGTGCCGCTGTGAAGGGTATGGTTTTCAAGCAGTTTACGGCTAGGATAGGGCTGATAGCGTTTGGGTCTAGAATAGGGTACCATTTTTCGGGAAACTGATCAGCTGGTTGAAGATTTTATCTAGACTTAGGAAACAGCTACTCTAGGATAGGGGGAATTTGGGCAGTTTACTCTAGTATAGGGTAACAAAACTTAGCTGAACTAGTTCTGGTATAGGTTAAGGGTACCAGGGTCCCAGCGGCACATCCCCACCCAGAAATTCCTTAAGTTCCGCCCCCTCCCCCCCCCGGACGTACACCTGTCAGCTATCGGCCAATTTTTTTCCTTGTCCCCAGTAACAGTCCCAGAAGTCTTTATTCGGCATAGTTTCCCTCTCGTTTTTGGCGCGGATTTCAGTGGCGCCCAACGATCGAATCAGTTTCCAAATACGGCCCGTGTAAGTGTCTCCAATGGTTTTCTCTATGCCAAAAAAAGTGGCTGTTTGGTGAATTTGAATCTGCCCTAAAAGCTACCTATCTGTTTAGATGTCTTAAGGGCACTTTGGTCGACTCGAAAGTTTTAGGTGACTTTTTAGTTTTTCGTCTCATCTGAAACTTGTTAGCTACCCTGATGGTTACAGTTAAAAAATTCAAGGACATGTGGTAACCGTACCTTCATCAGCGGATTCTAGGGGAGGTTTTTTCTTTAACCGAAATTTTCAGGTGACCTCTTTTAGCAATAATGGCCATATCACGGTAATAAAATGTGAAAACACAACTTCTGAAAATCTTAGGTAAGACGGTAGGTAAGTATTATAGTAGAAAATTAACTCCGAATGTCTTATAGTCTTAGAAATGTTTGGGCAATATATATGCTCTTACTGTGTAACAGTTATCATTCACCAGAGAAAAGTCGATGGGTGCCCCTGGGATTTGACTTGCTTGATTAGATTCAGATTGTGTTTCTTATCGGCCGAATCAGGTGAAGTAATCAACTCTTTTTGGACATAGGACAGCCAAAGCGTGTTCTCGTGTGGCAAAATCAGAAAAAGTGTCTGAGTATTTTGGTCCGAAAAATAATTCGAAAGTAGCTTAACCGGAGTTACAATGGAAATTGCACTCTTAACGAGGTTGATTTTGAACCCTGTCATTAAAGTTATTTTCCGATGGCGAAACTCGAAACTCGACATGTTTTGACTCAGTTTTAACCACAGGCAGCCCAGACGTAGTATGTGTCACTGAATGAATATATTAATATTCACATGGACAAATTAATGCGATGAGTCGTCGAAACTCCCATGAACTAAAATAGTCCAAAAGTCAAAATATAACAAAACAAAGCTAACATACCTTCAACTGAACGTATCCTTGTCTTTCCTGGCCGGTTTAAGTGGCATTTAATTTTGTTGAGTTTTGCAACTGTAGGTACTATCTACTAAAGAAGAATTAAAGGCTGGCTACAAAACAAACAGGCCATCTCCACACGCCTTCACACGAAGCGCTATAAATTCGAGAATAATCGACGAATCCCCTCCAAATTGCCATCGGCTAATCTGCAGGTAACGTGTGCTCCTGCTTCTTGCTCGCTGGCTCCACAAAACCCATCGCAACTGCACAATAATTGCTCGCTCATCAACAACCACTCTTGACCTTTACGCTTCGATATGACCGCAAACTACCAGGTATAATACGCGACTTGAATATCTAAGCTTAGCGACCGCGTTCGCGCAACAATGCAGCACTTGCTATTGGAGGGATGGTACTATTGCTTCTAGGTCAATCGACACTAACCGAAGGTTCGCTGCGTTAGTTTTGACCAGCAAACAAAAGGCGATAGCGCGACCGTCCGTAAGTTTTCAACAGGGCGGCCCTGGTTTTCAAGTTCGAACTCTTCTAACGTTCGCTGTCACAGCTGCTGTCACATTGTTCGTCCAGCCGCTTGCATAGGTTCTTGACTCTACTAGACCTATTTGCTAAGATTAATTAAATAAACAGTTCTTTCCAGAACAACGTCTTGCTCCACAATATGTTGTCCAAACTGGTGAAGGAGGACGAGAATTTTCCGCCCAGGAAAAAGGCAAAATCTGGCCTCGGCTATGCAGCTGAATAAAAGATACAGCTGAAGATATCGTAAAGTAAAATTTATGCGCGCGATATCTTTTATTATTATTATTATTATTCTCAAAACTCAGGGGCACCCAACGATGATTTCCCCCTAAATGCACTGAAAACACATATAAGGCTGTCCAGAGTACTTTCGATCTAAAAATGCATTCTAAACAGCGCTTACATAAATTTAGTCAGGGGGGCTAAAAGCGAAGCTAATGATTTATAGTTTGCTCATACTAAATATAAAATATATCGTGTAATGCTAAGCGGAGAAGGCAACGAGACAGGGGCACCCAACGACTGTTTCCTCAAATACTTTGAAAACACTTTTGTAGCCATTCATAAAGTATTTTTAGCTCTATAGAAATGTATTCTAAGTGGCGCTATAAAATTTGTATCTCAGTGTTCGGCCATTCTAGAGGAAGTTGAGTCTTTTCGAAATTACGAGGAATTCAGAATTATTTTCCCGAAAATTTTAGATGAAATTTAACGTATTACGAAGGAGATAATTTTTCAGATTCCTTCTTTCATCACATTTTTGAATCCGAGAATTTTAGGATTCCTTTTTACTCTCTACTAAAAATAGCCTAACCACGTGAGTGAAATGTGAAAAATTAAACGTTGGATGCCCTTGACCAGAACTATGAAAAACAACAATAGGTCTAATTGCAACACACTTCTTGTACATTTCCTTGCCGTTGATTTGCATGACTGCAACGTGAAACGTCCAGAAAACTTCCTGGTTTTCACTTTTTATGGAGGAAATGTGGTACATGATCTTGTTCACTTTTTCCACTGCCGCTCATTTTTTTTAGCTCCGCTATCAAATTCGTATCTGTTCGGTGATCCTAGGGCAAATTGGATCTTTTTAAAAATTACAAGGGCTTCAATACTATTTTCCCGATTGATTGACCTAGAAGCAATAGTACCATCCCTCCCATAGCAAGTGCTGCATTGTTGCGCGAACGCGGTCGCTAAGCTTGAATATTCACGTCGCGTATTATACCTGGTAGTTTGCGGTCATATCGAAGCGTAAAGGTCAACAGTGGTTGTTGATTAGCGAGCAATTATTGTGCAGTTGCGATGGGTTTTGTAAAGCCAGCGAGCAAGAAGCAGGAGCACACGTTACCTGCAGATTAGCCGATGGCAATTTGGAGGGGATTCGTCGATTATTCTCGAATTTATAGCGCTTCGTGTGAAGGCGTGTGGAGATGGCCTGTTTGTTTTGTAGCCAGCCTTTAATTCTTCTTTAGTAGATGGTGCCTACAATTGCAAAACTCAACAAAATGCCACTTAAACCGGCCAGGAAAGACAAGGATACGTTCAGTTCAAGGTATGTTAGCTTTGTTTTGTTATATTTTGACTTTTGGACTGTTTTAGTTCATGGGAGTTTCGACGACTCATCGCATTAATTTGTCCATGTGTTAATATTTTCTGTTATTCATTCGGTGACACATACTACGTCTGGGCCGCCTGTGTTTTAACCTGCTAAGGCGTTCACGTAACGACTGCGCAAAGAAAAGTGAGCAGGAAAAATTGAAACATAGTCAAGTAAATTCAGCAATTCCACAAGTAAAAGTTTCTTGGATTCCGGAATCCGAATTACCTTATATGGGGCGAAACCAGAGGTGGCAGCAATCCTATCCTCTATTTTCAATCTACGGTTTGCGATCCCATAACAACAGCAGGAGCGTAGCGTGCATATACGCACATACGCCCATGCGCACAGCCGAAATCTGGAAATTTCCTTTCCCTGAAAATATTTTTATCATCAAATCGGGATGACTGATAATTTTTCTTATTATATTGGTGTCTTTGTTTGAGTATTTCTTATATCTTTTATTATTCCGTAACGCTAGAGATGGGTAAAGTAAACATCTAACTCCTACATTTTCCTCCATATTTATTTACTGAAACTATCCCCTGGAAAAACGCAAGAAATGGCATTTCCGAGACCCTAAACTTGAAAATTTTCTGCGGGAGCATGTGCCAACCCGCCTAGTTTAGAGCGCTTCTGTACTCTAACTTTTCTTTCCGTACGTACACTTAATGAAATGATGAAATCGTAGCCTCTGAATGCGTGACGAACTAACCCCAAAGGACGTCTGCGGGGAGGCTAATGAAATCGTCGAATTGCTTTATCAATATACAATTTCATTTCAACTTGCTTTGATTTTCGGGGCCCGTTTTTTTGCGAAGTAGCTTAATAATATTGTCCTTGATGAAATTTTAGTTCAATCTTCTTCTTAAATAATTTGTATAATTCCCCTACATTTTTTTAGCCTGAGTATCAGGCCTTCGTAAGGGGCTAGGGGAGAGGACATTTTAGATGGACATCTTTCCCCTTTTCACCAGAAACGCCTGATACTCAGGCTAACATTTTTTACCCCTCTGAACCGTGACACCGGAAACTGAAACTGGGAACTACATGATGTGGGTTTCTAAAAATACGTACAATGATGTCATGTATTTGGTGATGATGCAATTCAGCTGTAAACATTCTCGACAATATAAATAGGCGATTTCTTGCACCTTTGTCCATTCTCTACTGGCAAACAGAAAACATAGTTAACATGAACATCTCTCGACGAGAAAAGCAGTGCACACCTAGCCAGAATGGGGATAGCAGTGAGAAATGGCGATGGAAACAATACGACAACAACTTCTACACGAACATTGTCACGTAATCAAACGTTGTTTACACGGGAAAACAGCATAGAAGATCCTTTACTGGAACACGCTCAGACTTACGTAGGGGAAAACTTCGTCGTTAGACATGGAAATCCGTTTAATCTCCGCCGTAAAGTTTGCTCGAAAACTAATTCTGGAGTCGTTTTCACAGAATTTAAACAGCTGAAACCTGTATCGAAAATGTCATTGTCGACTGGAGCTAAGCGTATGTTTACTTGCCAGAACGCTGGCGGCAGCTCAGAGAAAAGCGAAATTCTTAGTTTTGAATTACTTCAGAGATGTTTTGGGGCTGATCTTCAGAAAACAGAAATGGAAGTACAGTATTTTCCCGAAGGAGGCCCAATCACTGATTACACATGTACAATGTTTAGCACGAAACTAGGGGTCTCTGTCACGCGAGCTATGAACTATCACGGTGATTTTACAGTTGAAGATGCTGGTAAATTATTAAATAAAAAATTAAGAGGAGTTATAACTTCCACGAGAAATACCATGGAAAAATGGAGCAAGCAGATTTTGCATGTGTGGGCTACTTCACTTGCAGAGTCTGTTCTGATCGCAGAAGCTTACTATCAGCTTCCAAGGAATTTGAAGTCGAACACTGTTGTCCTGGTGACCGTTACAGAAAACAATGAAGTATTTACGAACTAAAGGCCATAGTATATTAAAAGACGTATCGGACTTTTTTCAAAATAAAGTTAACTAGCTTGTATGAAAATTAATTAATTTGAGATAAAAAAAATTCAGCAGATAACAACTTTATCCTTTAGGTAGTAGATCAGAAGAGAAGCTGGTAAATGGCAGCATTGATAAACACTCTGTAAAAAATTGTAAATATTTGAAAATCTACTTAACAAATAAAAAGTGAACAAAATTAATGCTACACAAGGTGAGTGCCTTCAGATTTGCCTACAGTCCGTGGGAATAAAAAATTATTTAATCACAATAAAAATAAACAAAGTTGTGCATAAATAAAACCATAAAGACTATGAGGAGTACTTAATTTTGCTCTCCTGTCTGTGTCACCTTCCCTGCACCTCCCTGCAATAATATTCTTCACTCACTGCATGACTCCTGACAAAAGACATACCTGTACATACATACGTATAAGATTTTACTTAACCCAATTTTAATAGAGCATGTAACAATAAATTGCTAAATAGCTACAAGTAAACAAAAGAAAACAATGAAATTAAAGTGGAATACTGTGTATTAGTCAACCATCCATTTTATCATGGGTTAAGGAAAATCACCCTACTTGTTAGAATTTGTTTTGATAGGAAAGGGTATAATCTTGTACTATGTATAACATTCATGATGCTTGTATCTGAATGAAAAATTATTGTTTTTTTTTTTTAACAATACTTTTGATACTTTTCACTCTAACCTGGTCTGAGCTTGCACTTCACTGAAAAGTTAGCAGAAAAGCTGTTGCTATAGCTAAGTAAGATGACTTGATTCGTTTTCGTGGTTATACTTGCACTCTTCCATACTAATCCATACACTGTAATAATATTATTTACATTAATGACAAAGCTACGTCCATGATGAAATATGATTACACAAGTTATGAGTTTGCTGGCTCAAAACATAAGCTTATCACAGTACTGTTCTTTCACAAAGAAGTGACAAAAAAAACATAACAGTTATGGTATTTTGATATTTTACTCTTTCCTGTGCAGTCTACATGTCATCGTAGCATTCATAAATACTGTTACAGGGTTCATACTCTTTTAAGCTCTTCAAATTCCATGACTTTTTCCATGACCTTAGGTCTAGCAGTCACTTTCTAAAATTTTCAAATCTTTCCTTGTTTCAGGGTATTTTTGAACCTAACTTAGTTCAACTTGACATAAACTCTGGTGTCCACCAAAGTGACAAGTGAAAGTGTGTTTCCTTTCTGCTGTTTAATTTCTCGCCTCTATTTCACATAGTCCTTGCTTTATGATCCACAGCTTACAATCTACCAAATTTCCATGAATTTCCAAGACCTACCATTAAATTTCATTGACGTTGGCAATTCCCAGGCCTGGAAAATGAAATTCTCAAATTTAATGACTTTCCAGCTTCCTTCATAACCTGTCCGAACTCTGATACCCTTTTGAACATATTTCATTCAGTCCTCTTCAAATTCAAAAGAGAGAGAAACAGAAATACCAATATTGTCATTCAATAATAATTTTTGGTATGATAATTGTGATACAATAATAATATTAAGATGTGTGGAAGTATGACACAGGACAACTGAAAACTGATATGAGTCTGGTAAACATCACGAATAGAAAATACCCATTTACATCTGAAATAGCAGCTATCCTAGACATGCAAGTGAGAGGGATGGGGACAAGTTTGAATGCTTTGGAAATTTTGAGGGTGGTCTCTGAGGTTAAGGGGGGGGGGGGGGGGTTTGTTTGGGGGTTTTTTTGGGGATGGGTGCCACTGGGGAATACCAGCACATTTTTCTGGTAGAAGAAAATCGCAAAAACCTATGTTAGCAACATTATGGGAGGACTGTACCCTCCTACGCCAGGATTTAATAAAATAAAAATAAAAAAAAAAAAAAAAAAAAAAGGAGGGAGAAAAAAAAAAAAAAAAAAAAAAAAAACAAAAAAAGGAAAAAAAAAAAAAAAAAAAAAAAAAACCATATAAACATAGAAAAAGGGAGCAACAGGGAGAGGGGGGGGGGGGGGGGTGGGTATGTTTGGGGTGTGTGGGGATTGTTGGGGGGTGGTGGGGGGGGGGGGGGGGGGGGGGGGGGTGGGGTTGTTTGGAGGTATTTTCTGGGATAGATGCCACTGAAGAATACCAGCATCTATTTCTGGTAGAAGAAAATCGCACAAACTCTTGGTAGCACAAATATGGAAGTACTGTAACCTCCTACTCGAGGGTTGTAACCTCAGTTGTTTACCACTTACAAAAAGTTTCCTGAAAATTCGGTTGGAAATTATAGTAACTGGAACACAACTTTTTGAGTTGTTCCAGCGAAAAATCTCCAGGAGCAACAGAACATCTTAAAGGGAAGTCCTGTTTTTCCGGACAGAATGTTCCAAATGGAAACTAGTGTTCTATTTCTTCGAAGCCAACTTTGATACCAGTTTCAGGCCTTCGCTGCCAGTTTTCAGTAAATGGAACTGATTTGTACAAAAGGTAAATGCGATTCCGGGAAGAAATTTGCCACTCCTGAATTTTGCTTACCATTTACCCAAGTCATAAACCAACTGACTTGCCCAGGTAAATGGTAGACAGCCTACATGTCTTTTGGATTTATAACTTTTCCCAACGTAGTGGTCTCTTAAAGTAAACTTGTTCACTCTCAGGTTGAGAAACTTTTCTCCGCCTGTTAGTTCTTGTTGTTGGCTTGATGATAGCAAATACTCCAAAATGATCACTGGGTAAAATACCAGATTTGGTAAGTTTATTACCGACAACTTTCATTTCTTTAACTTCAAAGTCTGAAAATTTGCAAAGAATGCGATCAAGACGTCCTTTACTAGTTCCATTTCTTTTTCTAACGGAAGCAAAAGGAGAAGTGTTTTGTGAAATAGTGTATCCACTGCTGTGAGTATTTCCAGGGAGAGAAAGCCAAGCGTCAAACCATGGCGACGGTAGCACAACCTCCCCATCAACTTCATCCACAATGTTCAAATCACCCATGAAGCAAACATTTTTGTAAGGGTTAAGGATTTGAAGTGCTTCTTTTAACTGTTCTTCTCGAATCCTAGATCTTGGTACATCGTGTGACAAGTGCGTACCTGCAACTACTAATTTAGTTTTGATCGATGGAACGACATCATCAAATTCTCCAGCTACAAATGCACGGCGATATTTACCGAAACTGTTATACGCGTGCTGTTGCCAGTCGTTCACAACATACCTACTTAAAATAACTGCACAGCTTTTCCCCACCTCGATGCGCTTCAGTGTGTCAGCTTTCGGTGGAATTAAGTAATATCGAGAAAACCAGCCTTGCTTTTCCAAAAGTAGAAGATTGTTTTGAGCAACTTCTTGAAATATAAGGAAATCTGGATCGAGATCTTGAACTAACTCTCCCACTGCTTCCATCCTTTCTTGCATCTTTTCGCTTGAATACCAAATGTTTAGAGTCAGCATGCTAATTTCACCGGATCTATTTCTAGACCCACCACCAAAACGAACATTAAGAAAAGCACGGAAAACAAAAATAGCAATTATTATCAATGTAAGTAGCAGCAAAGGTCGTCGACAAATTGTCACTTGAATTCTTGCCGCCGCCATCTTGTGCTGGCCGCCACAGGCTATCCAATCTGATTCATTATGTGCAAGTCACGCTAGGTCACGCGACATACCGTAAAATTCTTCAATAAAAGAGTACAGGGTTGATATAACATTAACTCGCCTAACAAGGCAGTAATAGAGAGAAAGGTAGGACAGAATCTCCAGCTTGCTCATCAAGCTTGCACTTCCATTATTTTTCATGTACTGTAACATGAACCTATTACCTGTGTAAAGAGACAGTACGTCAGTAGTTATTACGTTACATATATGATCTTGCTGCATCTAATGAAAAATAAACGAAGATCTGATTGGTTGGATCAGGTTGTATCTCAAGGGCGTCTGGCAATGACTTTTGTATTACCTATCCCAAAAATAGCCCAAACTGTAAATACGCTGTGTCACAGGGTCAGTGTGGGAGATGAAGGCAGCGGGGTGATAGGCTCCTGACTGTAACAGGAGCCTACTGGGCTCCTGACTGTAAGTAATGCAAACACCTGTATTTTGCTGCACTCACAAACTAATGCCTTGAGATCAACTTTCTGCAATCTGTTTAAGGAAACCTCACATCTGGACAGCATGCTTCACTCTGTCAAAAGAAAAACAGCTTCTTCCAAGGACAAATTTTTCCTTTGTCAGCGGGGTGGGGCATTTACTTGTATTTTCACACGCCGACCAGGATGCTCATCCATACAGGGTCAAATGAAATATGCGGAATAAAAGCCAGTTATCCCCCGCCAGTAACAGAAGCTTGGCAAGATAAATAAAGTTTTTGGCGATCCTTTTTTATTCAATAATACGTGTTCATTTCATGACTACCGTATCTCTCCTCCAAGGGCAGGGTCCAAACCAGGTTCCAGGATTGCCCTTTGAAGGGGATGCACCACTGAAGAATGGTGTAACTGTTCATGACTGGTGACGTAAAAAACTTTAAAAGCGAATACGAAGAAAAAGGCTTTTGACTAAGCAATAACATAATGTGAACTGCTGAGAATACTTATCAAACGATACAGCAGATTTAATACAACAGTATTTTTTGCGGACCTCCACGGGCGCGAGCGATCGTAGCCCCACACCTTAGAAAATGTGGTAATCTACCCATCCGAGAAATTTTGGTAATCAGGTGACCGTACGCCCGACCGACCGTCCGCACCACAGGCATACGAATGTAAAATAACTCAATCAACAGGTATGACAACCCAAAAGGTTATTTTCCAAAATGTTATTTTTGATCGATAACAATCAATACCTTTCTTCCGTGACTTCGAATTCTATCAATTTCGCATATCAATCAATATAATGATCGACGGATGAAATCGATTAATTTCCGATATCGATTTCTATCGATTGACTACGCCTATGTGTCAAGGAAATAAAATGAAATAAAACTCGTCCGAAACTCGGACGATCGTAAGTGGGAACGTGGCATTTTTCTCAAGAATATTATCGGGAAAATAGTTACACCGTCAAGATCTCCATCAAAGCACATCAATTAAGGCAATGAAGGTCAAAAGTCAGACTTCATTTCTATAAGTACCGGCGATCCCTCTTCTTTTGTATCCTTTTCTCCGTGTTCCGCATTGCCAGAGGCAATGAGGCAAGAGAAGAAGACAGAAAACTAGACAGACGGCGTGATTTTACGAGCGCACACTACAAGCTTTTAAATTTCTTCTAGAGGGATTTCAACCAATGAGCTGGATGAGAAATGCAATGAGACTTGAGAAACCTAATATGCAATTTGACAGTCGCTGGACCTGACGCCCGAAGAAGATAATTAATGTTTAACATAATAGTTAGCTTTGGACATAGGCGTACGGGCCGAGGGGCCGGGACGGTAGCCCCGCTCCAAGGATTTGAAAATTTTGAAATTTTTCGGGCAAAACGCTCAGGATTCGGGCAACAGCGGTTAAAACAAAAGAAAAAAAAACAACTGTCATTCCCAAACGTCAGGCTAGATGGACACATGCCAAATCAGGATGTGTTGTGTCAATCAAGTGTTAACAGATGATGGAAACTTGTCGATTTCATTCATTCATTCTTTCCCGCGATGTCCATCCTGAGTTGGAATCTTTGAGGAGAGCTTCACCTTAGTCACGATGTGGAAACTGTGCTAAACTAATTGCTAAATTCGATTTCTCATTTCGCGATGCTCCTGTGCCCCTAGGAAAACCCTCAACGCGCTTACAAGCGTTAGTCGGGGAAAACCAAAACGTCAGTGCTGCTCCTCCGCTATCGAAACCAGAGGATTACCATCATGTCAACACCTTTTTCACCTCTCTAGGAAAGATCCTGGCCGAAATTGAGAATCGATTCAGTGGAAATGACCAAGATGTTCTTTGCGCGTTGGGTGATATCATCCTTAGTTATTCATCTACCAGTCATAGCTTTGACCTCTTTGCCAAGGAGCTACAGCCAGTAAACACCCGCATATAAGAACAACTGGATTAAGAACATCAGGCTGAAATTTGGCCCATAAAGCACCATAAAGAACCAGTTCTGCCTGGCAAACAAAACGTGTTCTTATATAATGAGGGGGGAGGGTGTTGGAACAAGAAAGCAATGTAACTATAATGGTTGCTACTAGAAAATTACACAACTACAACAGTTGCCCGGGCTTCTTTAGGATTTTATGCTCCAGAGGATCATGTTATGCTGCAACTAGCTGAAGGATATAAATGTCAAATACATGTAATAAACTATCTGAATTTATTATTACTTTTTATCCATGAAACAAAGTTTAAGAACATATAAAGAACATCTTCAAGCTGATTTCTCACTAAGCACCAGATAAATAATGACTAGATCAGCCTGAACCCGAAATCATATGTTCTTATATTGGGGGTATTTACTGTACTCCAAGCAGACAAAGGCCTGTTCAGTCAATTCAAGACAACACACTTAGAGAAAACAACAAAAACAGCTGAAAAAGTAATTGAAGTATTGCACGAAAACAACCTTTTGGAAATGACCCGGGGTTCTCCAAGGTCGCATCGATTGTGGCCGTCATCTCTGCAACATCATACCCAGCGGAGCGCTTATTAAGTGATTGTGAACAGTATGGACAGGATAATAATTATTAAAATTTTCGGACTACGCCACAGGAGAAATAACCTGTTTTTGACAAGTTTCTGATTTTACTACATCGAGTAGACTGTCAATAGTGATGATGGAGTACGCAAAGTTTCAAAATAACTACTTCTGGAATTAGAACTCTTTCGCTAAGTGTGAGAATTGTAAAGGTCTTTCCTTTTCATAGAATACAAGTGCTTTTTTTATTCCGATTGTAAAACTCAGGCATTCGGGCACTGTGTAATTTTTTGGGGCAAAAGGGTCACCGACCCCTAAGTCCATAGTTGCCCGTACGCCTATGGATTTGGATATACAAGCAGTTAAGTTCCAAATTTGTAGAGCTGCATGGCCAGTTTTAACTTGTCACTTGGCAGGTTTGGATTAATTGTTGAAAATTTAGGATATAACATGATTTTAGAATTTAAGGTCCTCTCTCGATAGGTCCAAACTGGTATTGATCCCGGGATTTTGTCTCTGATCTCTACATGATCTCATAGCTTTGATGCCCAGTTTTGGGATTCTGATCCCTGATCCCACATACCTCGTTACTACCCTGTCTCTGCAGTGTCTCTGAGCCTTACTGTGAAAAACAACATTCACTAACGCACCTACCACCACTGGGATTATTCAAGTCTTCATCTGCCACATTCTGGTGATTCTTAGGATTGGGGCCAAGGGCACCAATCACCACAGGAACTACTGCTGTCTCCAATTTCCATACTCTAGCAAATCCTTTCACTTATCATTATTATTATTATTATTATTATTATTATTATTATTATTGTTGTTGTTGTTGTCTCTTCTGTCACAGGAGCAAACATTGCACCTGGAGCATCAGTCATTCAAGTCAATCATTCTTCTTCTTCTTCTTCTTCTTATTTTTCATTAATTATCATCATCAATAATATTATAATTCAATCATTCTTAATATTATTATTATTATTATTATTATTATTATTATAAAATGATCACCATTAGAGGAGTCATGTTCATGGGACTATTTTGCAGCCTTCCAGGAATTGTACAGAAAACTGAGGAAAAGGGAACTAATTTCAAATTGAATTTGTTGTTTGATGATAATACTAGCACCTCTTGAGAGATCTTGGGGATTTGTTCCAGTTTTACGAACCAGTGTTAGAAATTTTGATCAAAATTCTAAAAAGCCACACAGCCCAGATGTGCCCAACCTCTGTTTCCAAGGGGTTTAACACTGACAGGTTCATTATGCAACAAAACCGGCAAGCCATTAACAAGTATCTTACTAACAAAGTGGAAGGGAGAGTATCAATCAACAGCAAAATGCTAATAATTAATGTTGAATGCTTTTAATAATATTGTTAGAAGTAAAAGGGTTAATAAATATTTAGTTTTTAAAATCTAAATGACTGTACAACTATTAGCGTGAATAATATTGTGATCAAAATTAATAATTATGATTCTAACATGTGATGATAAAAAGGATTCACATTCATCATGCATGTGGCACAGGGGAACTCCTTTGTTAAAAATGGCTCATACCTACAGCAAAGAACCAAAAAACCAACTTTGAAAAATGAGAAATTTTAAGTTAAGTGAAACCATAGTTCAACAATGCTTATGTAAATTCTGGAGTGGGGGCATGGTAAACGGAGGGGGGCGGGGGGAGGAAGACTGCTGTGTCAATTATTATAGACTAGTCTATGTCATGCATTTGGTATGGCCACTGTGAAGGTTATGGTTTTCAACCACATTACAGTCTAGAGGTAACAGAGTTTATTCTTATAAAGTGTGGCATTCTGGGATTTCCAGAATTCAGAAGATGAAGTCACACAATATTATCTAGGTAAGTGTAGCAAATGGGGTGTAATAAATCATTCTTAAGATCCTTATAAATTTATTATTAACTTAAAAGAGCTCCCTTACCAAAAATTCACAGCAACATTTCTTTGTTCTTG